ATCCAAGAAAAAGGCACAATTGGTGAAACAAGGTCACTTATTTGGGTTTTATCCTGACGCCAGAAATGAGGGCTCTCTCTCTGGAATTAGTACAGACCACACTGAGATTGCCCCTGACTATTACCAATAGGCAACCCTGGGCCTTTTGAGGCCTCGCTGGATTTTGCAGACTCTGAATTCTAGTCTATGGTAAGCCAAACCCCCTACATAAGGCTTTGAAAGGCAATGAAGAATTAGAACTCTTGACTCTGGAGGGGGAATAATTACCAGCCCTTCAGAAGCTCAAAGACTCCCTCTTATATGCTCTGGCCCTGGGGTTGCCTCTGAGAGACAGATCCTTTTAACCAGTGTGAGTGAAAAGCAAGAAATAGCCCTGGGGATGCTGACGCAGTCCCTGGGGACAGGAAAAAGGCCTGTGGGGCACTTGTCTAAACAGTTTAGATCCAGCGGCTAAAGGCTGGCCTGGCTGCCTGGGAGAAATAGCTACAACTGCTCAGTACAGAAGGCATCCATGCTAACTCCGGGAGTGCGCTTGGAGGTCTCACCCACCTGCCCCCCAATGAGGTGGCTCCTTTATTAGAACTTAAAGAGGCCTGATTGGCTGTCTAACAACCATCTATTAGAGTATCAGACTTTAATATCAGAAAATCCAGAAGTAACTCTATAGATGTGAAATATTTTCAATTCTACCACCTTTTTATCTTGACTCCATAAGAACACACTCCCTGCACATGACTGCATAGGCATTCCATTGCTACCTTCTGCCTGTAGAGCAGACAACTCAGATTATATCTGGAACAGAGGTGGAAGTTCTTTTGTTCAGGAGGGTACTTGCAGGGTCTCATATACTGTGGTCTCTTTATCCCAGGGGATGGGGCAAATTATTGCCATTCAATGCATCAGCTCAGCTGGCTGAGGTAGGAAAAGGAAAAGGGTCATCATATATTCAGATCCTAAATCAGATTCCTGGTTTTACAGCATCTGCATCTTATTTGGCAGTACCCGGGTTTGAACTCAGGGTCTCACTTTCTAGGCAGGTGCTCTACCACTTGAGCCACTCTACTGCCAGCACTGCCTACTGCTATTTGGATGGAGAGAGAATCCCATTAGGTGTGACCCTTGACTATTAGCTTTTACGGCAGGCAACCCTTTAGAACAGCCATAGTCACTGCTAGGGACATTGAAAAGGAACCTCAAGTAGCAGAGGGAAACTGATTTGATGACCAAACTGCGGACTCTTTGAGAGATGGCCTGATTCCCACCCACTCAGTGGTCTCATACATTACTCCCAATTACATCCCAGAGGAGACACAGTAGGCCTCTGAAAAGGGTACAATCTGAATGCAAGTGGATGGTTTAATCTTGAGACACTAAGCACCTACTTCAGGCCATCAATGTCAAGTCATTAGGAATACCCATAAGTCTTGACACTTTGGAAGATACAAATTAACCCAGCTATGTAACTGTTTACAGGGAAGGGCCTGGCTCAGACTATCAAAGAAGTAACTAAGACTTGCTCTGTCTGCTCATTAAACAATTCTCAGAGCAGATGCCCTCTGGATTTAACCTCCCTAGTTCAAAGACATGGCTTTTACTATCTGGAAGAGGACTGGCAAGTAGATTTCACCCAGTTACTGCCATATCAAGGGTTTCAATACATTCTGGTTTTTGTAGATACTTTCATGGATGGATTGAGACCTTCCCTACCTGGACTGAAAAAGCCACTGAGATTAACATGGCCCTATTACACTAAAGAATTCCCAGATTTTGTCTTCCCTTGTCACTTCAAAGGGACAATGGACCTCCTTTGCCTCTGAGATTATTCAATAATCAGCCAAGGTCTTAGGAATCAAATTCTACTTATACTTTTCTTGGAGGCCCCAATACTCTGGGAAGGTAGAAAGAGCTCACTGGATCTTAAAATTACATCTTAAAAAGTCAGCCCAGGCAAATGGTTTATGAAACCTTATCTCGAAAATACCCAACATAAAAAAGAGCTGGTGGAGTGGCTCAAGTGGTAGAGCACCTACCTAGCAAGTGTGAGGCCCTGAGTTCAAACCCCAGTATTGTGAGGAAAAAAAAAAAAAAAAAAACAAGAGCTATGTCAGGAAACAACCTTACCCTAGAAAAAGGTTTTACCACTGGTCCTTTTTTAAAAAATTTAATTCTAAAACAGCTCCTGTTTCTTCTCTGGGACTCAATTCTTGTAGGCCTTGTATGGCTCACCTTTTCTTAGACATTTCTATTTGATCATCCTATTTGATGAGGAATAAACTTCACTAACAAAACATGTTATTGCTTTGAACAAATTTCAATAGACTTTAAAAGAATTTGGTCTTAAGGTCTTGCCACAACCAGGATGGCCAACCAGGCCTGGTTCTTTGGTGTTGAGAAAGATCTGTAAGAATAGTCAGACAATCTCATGATTAACTCCTCCCTGGAAAGGTCCTTTTCCTGTCCTCTTTCCATTCCTACAGCCATCAAGGTTCTTGGCATTTCAAGCTGGAACTGTCACAGTTAAGTTAAACCATGGAACTCACCACAGGAACTTCACCTCTAGGCACAAAGGCCACTTATTCTTGATAACCTTGATAAGACGTAAAGTACTCATTTCAAAAGAGATCCAGATCAGTAATTTTCACTATGTATTTGTGAAATTATCATCTTTTGTTTTACTTATTCCCATTTTAGAAACCAACTTTTTCCTAGACTGGGTTCAGCATTTTGCCAAAAGAATAAACAAAAATAATTGCTAGGTTTGTGTCTTACTGGCCACCTCCAGCATTTCTGGGTATTCCCCACTCCAGGAATCAGACCGGAAATTCCTCCAAATTCCCATACATGAGACAGCAGGACAACAGGTTGCTGAAAACCTCTTTAACATCTTAAAGGATACAGCAGCTCAAGGTGCAAGGGGCTACCTAATAACAGATTGGCCATCAGGTTGTTTGCAAAAGTGGCCCTGATATTCCACCCTTCCCTGAGTGCATTTCCTGTGCGACAAGTTTCACGCAGCATCTCCCATCAAGCATGGAACCCATTTCCCTTCCTCTAGCACCTGAGCTGCCCTCGTTACTGGTGTTGAGAACACAATGTAATGAAAAAGATGGAAGGAAGGGACTTCCTGTGCCTTTGCTTTTTTGTTCTTTTGGACCCCTGCTCCTTTATATAAGTGATCCTGGCTAATGCATGCAGGATGCATGGCAATCCTGTCCCGCTTTCTCAGCCAAGGCCTCAGACATGGATGAGAACCTTGCCTGATTAGTCACGCTGCTTAGCTGACTCACTGATTGTAGAGACAGGAACGCATCCTCTGAACACAGCCCAGAACTGCCCAGGTGACCCACAGACTCCTGAGCACTAAGTAGTTGTCATTTTAAGCCACTGAGTCTGGGGATAGTTTGTGACACTGCATTGCTGTGGCAAATAGATAACAGATACAAGGTATGTTAGGGGGAAATCCTAGCTAGTGCTTGACTCACCAAGGTGTGTGATCCAGGGACTGGATCTCCCAAAGGTGGTACATGTTTCTAACTTCCAGGAAAATGCTGTAAGGTTGTAGCAGGGCCTGGGGATCACACCTGGTGGTGGAATCAGTAATCTCTTTGGATCTCACATGAGAATTCTAACGGATCTGATCTATTCCCCAGAGATTCGGGCACTGGGAACTTACGGAAGCTGAGCATGAAGCTGGGGAAGAGATGTAACCCGCTAACCAGAGTCCTCCTTGAAGTCTACATTTTATAGGTATGCATTTTTATATGGTGAATGTGAATGAAGAACAAAGAACACACATGGCCTCAAATCTTGGATGAACCAAATGGGTCCCAAATTCTGCCTGGAAGTAGATTGAAGTGGGGGAGACAAGCTGAAAACCCATTTTATACTTCTCTGCCAAAAAAAAAAAAAAAAAAGAAAAAGTCAAGGGAAGAGGTAACAGGGTCGTTGCAGGGATCTGCCAATCAGAGCATGGAAAACAAGGCACAAGTAAACCTTGCTCACTGCTCCACCTGCTGGTAGCATCCAGCTCATTTCTGTCTCTGTTCCTAGATTTACTTAAAGCAATCTCTAGGGTCCCACAGGTGTCCAGATTGTGCATGTGCCCCCAAACCTGCCTTGCTGCCCATCTCCATCAGGATGAGAAACTTAGCAATTGGCCACCAAATTCTGTCACCCAAACGTGTACTTCTCTTTCCATTCCACTCCCAGGCTCCCCACCTGGAATGTGATCACCTTTAAACTGAATCTGAGCTTGTCCACTGGACTGAAATGTCAATTCTGAAATCTTTCAATTCTAGTTCTTCCTGTATCTCCTCCTGGTCCCTCTCTTCCTATCCATGTCTCTTCTTTTGCTTCCAAGACTAGGTTTGGTACATACATCCCAAGGGCCCAAGTACTTTGGGCTCTCCATCCTGCCAGCCCAGTGTCCTCTGAGAGGCCCTCAAAGTCCAGGGCAAGAGGCCCCAGGCCTTCTGATGCTGGCCCAGTGGTGTGAGCCCATGGCGTCCTTCTTCTCCCCGTGGGCCCCTGGAGTGGACATAATGAGGACGTTCACACATCCTTGGTGGGTGTGCCTCCCCCAAGCTGTAGACACTGCTCCAAGGCTGTGACCACTTCTCAGTCAACCTGTGGGCTCAGCATCCCAGGGGTGCCCAGCAGCACTTTATTTAACAGGCCCACAGCAAGACAGGGGTGGCTGCAGAAAACCCAGGAAGTGCCAGGCACAGCCAGGCCACAGCCACCCAGGTTCCCACTGCACAGGGAGTCCCCGCTGGCTGGAGGGTGGGCTGAGGAGGTTTGGGCTGGAGCTCGGAAGCTGAGGTAGCTGGAGACCTGGGAGGTGACCTGGCTGCACCCAGGCCCTTCCCTCTTGCAGCTGAGCCACACGATCCACGCTCCAGCTGCAGCGGCCCTGGACCTTGACCTTGGTGGCATCTTGGGGCACAGCCTTCGGAGTCTGTTTCCAGGCTCAGGCTGCAGAGGACTCAGCATGACCACTGTCACCAGGCTAGAGGCGAAATCATCCCAGAGCTGCGAGGACCCTCCCCAGCCTGCAGGTCGCTGAGTGCTCGCTGAGTAATGGGAACACAAGGCAAGGGTGTGGTCAGTGTTGCCGCACCCTTCCTGTTTCCTCTGCCCATTCTAGACCACCAGCACTGAGCTTGTAACCCTTCCCCATCGGGAAAAGAGGACATGTCATTTACTGGGACCCTTTCCCAGTTGGACTTCAAGGAGAAGGCCCTGGTGTGATCCCCTAAGGAGCATTTCAGATCTCCTCCATGGCTCACCTCAAACTTGCTCATGAACTCTGCAAAAATGCCAAAGAAGGCCTCAGAAGTGGTGGCTTGAGAATCCTCCCCAAAGAAGGCCAGTGCCTTGCTCAGCTCCTCCATGGCCTCCCGCTGCAGTCCGTCCAGCACCCGCAGTGTGGGTTGGGCTGTCTCCAAAAAGGACTGCAGGACTCGGTTAAGAAAACAGCCACTGCTGGGTATCCTCCCATCCTCCCTTGCTGGGATGTGACCCCAGACAGTGCCCTAGCTGTCCTATTCTCTCTCTGCCTTGGGCCTACTGAGGTCCTGTGTAAGCAGGGAGTGGTGTCCTGCTTGGTGGCCTGACCCACCACCTACTAAGCTCACCCTGGAATCTGTCAGGTCCAGCACAGCCTCTGTTACCCAGCTGATGTTCTCCCCACAAGGGGGTGCTCTTTGCCCTAGGACTCTGCTCAGAGGCCAGTGTCCCCATTTCCCTGACCACCCACTTATGGTGGCTCTCTCTATTACATTTTTTTTTTTTTTTGGCTGTACTGGGGTTTGAACTCAGAGCCTGGTACTTGCTAGGAAGAAACTCTACCACTTGAGCCACAACCCCAGCCCTTTGGTACACCTCCACTCCATCTCAGCAAAGCCTCTTCTGTCTCTGTCTCTGTCTTTGTCTCTTTCTCTCTCTGCTGCTATGAGGTGAAAAGATGTCCCATTCCACCTCTCCTCTCACTAATGAGAAAACTGGGCCCAAAGAGAGTAAGGGACTTGCCCAAAGTCACACAGATAATAAGGAATTGAGTCAGAGCTTGGGCCTAGGTCTATCTGATGGGACAGCTCAAGTCCCTCTGCAGAGGGACCTTCCATCCTCCCTTCTGCCTTCACCTCCCAAGTAGTTGGAACTATAGGTGTGTATAACCATGCTAGTCTATGAGCACTTGGAATCTAAATATCCCAGGACAGAACCTCTTCCAGGTCCCCTGGGCACACAGCAGCCTATGTCTGAAATCTCTGCTGGGATCTTCAGTGGCCATTGGAGCCACAGCCAGCTCTACATAGCCATCTCAGGGTCCAGTCTGGCTGCTCAGAGGATACCGTCATGACCACAGCAAACCTGTCCTCACTGGAGGGGGACATGCTCTGGCAGGCCTCCTGAATCTCACTAATGGTACCATGGAGATCAGCCAGGTCACCGGTCAGGGCCCGTTGATTCACTGTGGGGAAGGGGACCACAGCCTATTAGGGCACATTTCTAGTGCAGGACAGCAAGCATCTGCCTCCCCACTCCTGCACCCAGCCTACCTTTGGCAGCCAGGGGCACAGTGGGCAGGTCCTGAGCAAAGCCCAGGAGTTCTGGAAAGTGCTGGCTCAGCGATTTGGCAAGGATGTGGAGGAAGGTGGACTTCCCATCCACTGTCTTAGTGGAGTTCAGCTGCAAGTGACCACAAAAACACAACTTTCTCCAGGACCCCACCAAGATTCCTGGTCACATGACCTCAGCTTCTCCTGGGCCAGTTCTTGGCTTTGGGCTTTTTTTTTGAGACAGGGTCTAGCTATGTAGCCCCAGCTGGCCCCAAACTCATGATCCTCCTGCCTTAGCCTCCCAAGTACTGGGATTACAGATATGTACCACCATGCCCAGCTAGTTTCTGGCTTTGATACTCTCTTTCCAACTTCTCTCCTTTTCAAGATGTCAGTCTTGCCAGGCACCAGTGGCTCATGCCTGTAATCCTAGCTTCTCAGGAGGCAGAGATCAGGAGGATCAAAGCAAATAGTTCACGAGACCATATCTTGAAAGAACCCACCACAAAAAAAATAGGGCTCATGGAATGACTCAAGGTGTATGCCCTGAGTTCAAACCCCAGTACTGAGAAAAAAAAAAAATCCTAAGGCTTGGCTGGTGAAGCCACAATCCCCCACTTTGCTGCAGTCACTTTTCCATTCACCACTCTGGGGGGGTGCCCTCCTGGGTCATGATGTCCTCTCCTCCCCTCTGTCACAACTTAGGCTTGACCTCCCAGCCTGATGGATAGAGATGGGTATTGCTGCCTGGCCCTCACCTCTGTCAGAAAGTTGATCTTGAAGCCAGTGGTCTTGTTCGTCTTGGGTTGTCCATCGTTGAGATAGTTACCCATGGCCAAGACAAACTGCGGGGCACAAGGTAGGTGCATGGTCCAGGTGCTCACCTTCCCCCCAGGTCGGAAGTCCCAGGGGACAGAGGAGCAGGTTAGGCAACCAGGGGGCAGATGCATTCAAACCTCCAATATCTTAGCAAGCTTCCTGCTATTTTTGAGCTCCAAGGATGCCTGTCGCAAGCACTCGAGACTGCCTCGGATCTCCTCGGTCTTCTCCTGTAGGGTGGCCTGGAAGTGAAGGCTGCGCAGGCGGGTCTTGTATTCCGGAACTGACAGCATCTGCCTCAAAGACAGTGCCAGGATTCATCCATTCATCCATTTTCCACCACACCGTGGGACCCACGGGGGACCCACTGCCCCACCTTTGGGGGGTTGAGGGGTGGGATGATGGAAAAGTAAGTAGGATCCCTAGGGACGCTGTCATCCTAGTTACCTTGGCCCTGGGTGGGAACGGGCTATTTAAGTATTAAACTGGGACACAGAGGTCTGAGCAGGGTGGAGGTACAGAAGGGACGTGGGACAGAGGCAGCCCCCACCGCCACCCCTGTCCAGCCACAGCGGGAGCCCTTGGCTTTGAAGGAGAAGGGGGCGTCTCAGCCTAGGCACCTGCAGGACGAACTGGTCCGGCTCGCTGAGGCGGCCGGGCGCCTCTCGGAAGGCCTGGTAGCGCTGCTCCTCATCGGCGTCGGGCGCGAAGAGCAGGAGCTGCGCCAGGTGCGCGGGCTCCAGGCGCCGGGGCTCCATGCTCATGAGCGCCTGGCGTAACTCCGCGGGACTCAGCTTCAGGTGCGCTAGGAGGATGGCTGTGGGCGGGGCCGGGAGTGTGAGGCGGGGGCGGGCCCGGGAGGGGGCGGGGCCCGGCAAAAGAGTGGGGCTTTAAGATTGGCCACAGGCTACTGGGTGGAGCCAAGAGGTGGGCGGGGCCTTCTAAACAAGGGGGCGGGGCGGGGGCGGTTCCAGAGGCGGAAAAGGGCCTTGGGGACTGATCAGACTTAGCTGGTGAGCAGAAACCAAGAAGCTGAGTGGGGCTGGTGGGTGTGGGGAACTAGGGAAGGATCTGCAAAGGGCAGAGTAGAGAAGGTGGCTTGAGATGGGACCACAGCTGAGGGCGGGGCCAATAGGGGGTGGAGCCAATGTCAACCTCTGTGCCCAGGTGGGATTCCCTTAGCCTTGTGCTAGCCAGGTGACAGGTGTCTCGCCCCACATCCTAATCTCAGTCATCCACCCAGGTGGGTCCAAGGCTCTGTGGCCCAGAGGGCCACTGCCTGACTCCAAAAATCCCCCGGGGTTCCCTGGCCCCTCACAAGTGTTGTAGGCCTTCTTGTGGGACAGGATTTCCACCACCTCCTTCTTCCTGAATGGCTCAGGCCTGGGCACCGGCTCTGGAAGGGAAAATAGATAGTTTAATGCGGTTGGAGGTAGGCTGGGGCTACTGTGGCAGAGCCCAGGAGAGGTGTAGCCACAGCCAACCATAAAGGGCCCCCTTCCTCCCAGGCACCACCTGGACTAAATCAACTCCAAGCATCCATGCTCCCCTCATTCCTCAGTCTCCCACTTGGGGTCGCCCAGGTCCAGCCCATCACATTTCATCTATGTGGAATATTCATCCTCCCATTTCCATCTCCTCAGGTGCCCTCTCCCCTGGGCCCTGGGGGCTAAGCTGGCACAGCAATGAAAAACCAGCCACCTCTCAACCTTTCAGATGATTCCTGAATGGACAAGCCTTTTTCCTCCATCCTGGACCACCAGCCCACACACACAATAACCCTGGCTGCTTAGAATCCCATCCAACCACTACAGAAGATACCAGAAAGGGCTGAGGGGACAGAGATTGCAAGAGATATTTGTGGGCACCTTCTCTTTCACCCTATTCTGGCAGTGTGGCTTGCAGCAAATCACCTAGGAAGTGGAGGTGATCACTTTATCTACCTAGTAGTATTGTCAAGAGATTTGTGTAAAGTCAGCACCTGGCATTTGATCAACACAAAGTAAATACCAGCCATTATTATCTCCATTTTGAGATGGAAAAAACTAACCCAGGACTTGAAAGTTGGAAGACACATTAGGTAAATGTCCACAGTACAGCCCTCAGGGACTCTAAGCCTGAGGACACTACAGAAGGCAGTAAGTGGGGCAGCATGGTGTCTGGGCTTCCCCCAGGGCCATCGGGCCACTCACTCGCAGGTTTCTGGGTACCGAAGTGGAGTTCCAGGTCGAGGTATTTCACCATGTCACTCAGCTTGTCATAGTCAGAGTCCTCCCCAAGCTGCAAGGGAGCATGGGAAATTCAGAGTAAGAGGCACAGCAATAGCTAGACTGCCTTCCCCTGCTCAGCCCACCCTCTGATGGCTATTCTGGGGGTCCCTGGAGGGAGATCAGCCATCAGGCCCCGGGGATGAAGGCAAGAGCAGAAGACTGCAGATGAAGTTAAATCATCCAAGTTCTCAGGAGAGGAGTCATCTTTCCTTGGAGTCAATAATGTAGCCATTCTTCAAACTCTACAAAGAAGCTGGGCCAGAGGGCTTCTCTGCAATGGTGCTGTGAATGGGCTGATGCTAACCAAGGGGAAAGAAGGTAGCTGAGGAGTCTAGTCCTATTTTGAAGGTTCCTTTACAGGGAGTGAGTCCAATGTGGAGCTGCCCTAGACAGCTGAAGTAGCCAGGGGCTGGGAGCTGGACAGGCGGTGGAGTGAGGTAGGTAGAAAGTGACCATCTGAGGCTTAGACAGGGAGTGGAGAGAGGGCATTTGCCAAGAGAGAGACCCCAAAGGGAGGGCAGGTAGAGAAATGAAGTCTTGGGACATGGCTGGAGGGCAAGGAACCTGATACAGACTTGATTTTGGCCAGTGGAAGGACTACACTATAAACCGAAACTAGAGGACTCATCTAAAGCTGGTAGGAGTAAGGTCTCCGGGCACCCTGCATTTAGGTCTCTATTTGTGGCCTTGTCCTGCTGAGAAGCATCACTAGTAACATGGGAAGGCTCCCTGGAGAAATGGGCTGATACCATCTGGGATCTGAGGGCAGGAGACAGCCCTGAGGCCTGGGGGATGCAATGAGGAAAAAGAAACGTGCCTGCTCAGGGTGGATGTGTGTGAGGCATGCTTTTGGTCCCAAGAAGAAAAAAAGATAAAAGGTTGAAGCTGATGGTGGGCACTGGAAAGGAATAGCCCCCCAGGCCATATTGAAAGGAGTATGGTGTCAGACTAGTGTCTCAGACCTGTAATCCTAGGCAGAGTTTGGGCATGGTAGCACACGCCTGTCATCCCAGCTATGTGCAAAGTGTAGATAGGATATCCAGGCCAGCCTGGGCATAAAGGCAAGACCCTATTTGAAAATTAAAGAGTAAAGGGCTGGAGGCATGGCTAAAGAGGTAGAATCCCTGCCTAACAAATGTGAGGCCCTGAGTATTCCAGTACCTCCGAAAAAAATAGGAAGTGTGGTGTCCAAGAACTCTGTTCTCTCCCCTGAGCTGATCAAGCCCCACTGGGAATTCCATTTAGGGCCTGCTCTTTGGCAAGGTCATCCCCACTGGACTATTGAGTTAGAAAACACATTCTTGGGGGAACAACCTAAAGAAAGTTGAGAGGCAGAAGTTAGGAGTTTCATGATTCAAGGCCAGCCTGGGCAAAAAAGTTAGTAAGGACCCATGTCAACAAAACTAGCCAGTGATGGTGGTGCATGCCTATGATTCCAGCTACATAAGAGGCTGTAGGTAGGAGGATCATGGTCTGAGGCTGGCCCCAGACAAAAATGCAAGACCCTAAAAGAAAACCAAAGCAAAAAGGGTTGGGGATGTGGCACAAGTGGTAGAGTGTCTGCCTAGAAAGTGTGAGGCCCTGAGTTCAAACTCCAGAACCACCAAAAAATAAACAAACCAAAGAAATATAAATCCTGTTCATATTCCAGGTTGGTCAGTTTGTAGATAAAGGAATATTCTTGTTCTGTCTGATTTCAAGGGCCAGACAGAAAATGGCAAGGGAATCTTGAGGAGACAAAATTTCAGAGCAATACAAAGAAGGATGGTTAAGATTGTCCAACAGGAGATGGACAGCCTCAACAGGTAGTGAGTTCCCCATCACTCAAGGTAGTCAAGTATACACTGACGATATCGTGTGGGAGGAGATTCAAGCATCAAAGGAGAAAGGGAAACGGGTATGCATTTTAACCAGCTGCCTTTTGTTTTGTGTTTTGTTTTTGAGACAGGGTCTCACTATAGCCCAAGCTGGCCTTGAACTCGGGATTCTCATACTCTGCCTCCCAAGTGCTTCAGTTAGGATTACAGGGGTGTGTGGCTGCCAGCTGTCTCTCCTCTCTCTCCCTCTCTCTCTCTCTCTCTCTCTCTCTCTCTCTCTCTCTCTCTCTCTCTCTCTTTCCCCATTGTATTTTTGGCTCAGGGACACAGTCTGGCTTCCATGTGTGCATTGACCCCCCAGGATGGGCATGTTCTTGAGCTGGGCCTCCATTCCTCTCTGCTCAGGGTGACGTTGCAAGAGTCTGGGAGGATGAGTCTTTGCTGCGATTCTGGCCGCCACCCCTGCCGCAGTGCACCAGTGAGTGGGCCCCACGTTACCTACCTGACCCCAAATGGTGCCTTCCGAGTTCTCCACCTGCTCCCACCGCAAGCGCTTGACACTCATGTGGCTGGTCTCGCTGCGCCGGTGGCCCAGGCCCCGGGACAGCACGGGGGGTGCACAGGGCACGGGTGGGGGCAGGGGCGGTGGGGGAGGGGGCGGGACCGGGTGACTGAGTTGGGGGTGGGGCTTGGCTAGTGCCTGAGGAGGGCCCCGGGAACCGTCAGAGGGGCGGGAGCTGGGCTTGGGGTCGTGGAAGGGCAGGGGTGGTGGTGGCGGGGGGCTGAGTGGGGGCGGGGGAATGTGGTCAGAGATGGAGGAGTAGGTCAGGGAGCTGCCTTCCTCGCTGGTGCTGATGCAGTCGCTTGCGCTGCTCCGCTCGTTGGTCACAAAGCTGCCCTGGTCATCGTGAAAACTCATCTGATTGGGAGAAGGCAGATGAGAGGAAGGCGATGGGCCCACATGGACCAGAACGGGTGGCTATGGGTACGCCGTGGTGGGGGGGATGCAGAGTGGGCTAGCCTGGGGCTGAGGGTAAAAGAGCCTGAAGACAAGGAGAGGACAGCCCAAGGCTGTGGGCTGGAGAGCCTGACAAACTGTAGGATAGCCCAGGACAAGGAATGGACTGACCTGAAACAAGGAGTATGGGGTAGCCCCAGACAAAGGATGGGCTAGCCTGGGGAGAGGGAAAGGAAAGCCTAGTGGTTTAGTCTGAGATACTGAGTGGGATAGTCTGAGATAAGGAATGGGGTAACCTGAGACAGTATATAGGATAGCCTCAGGCAAGGGGCAGGATAGATTTTAACAGGGGATGAGGTAGCCTGGAGCAAGGAATGGATGGCTCCCGCCAGGGAGTGGGGTAGCCTGAGACATATTCTAAGACAGACCTGGGCACATGGAGAGATAATCCAAGGCAAACCCCAAGGGCAGAAGGTATCCTGAAGGACTCTGGGGACACTGTTCTTCAGTAGGTCCACACACCCCTCCCCTTCTACCTTCCACACTGGCACACCCACCTCCTCGTAGTCATTTTCAGGGGTCAGGAAATCATCCACGATGGTGACCCGGGGGCCCAGCTGCTCGCTCAGCACATCCAGGAAGCGGTCTGCATCCCGGCTCCGCATAGGATGGGAAAACGTGAAGAGTTTCCTGCGGCTGGGTGGCCGCACAGGGTCTGGGCTCAGGGGACTGTCCGGACGGATAGGCCCTGGGCCTGGCTGCGGGGAGGGTGCCCTGCTGCTGTCCAGGCTGGCATAGGGGTGGGACTCAGAGCTGCTGGGGGAGGCCAGGCCCCCAGAGCACAGCGGGTCATAGCAGGGAGAGGGTAGGAGCCGTTCACTTGGCCATGAGACGCTGGACAGGGTCCTGGGCCCTGGGTAGGGGATAGAAAATGAGGACCCCTTTCAGCTAGTACCTGATTCCAGGCACAGGCTGGAAGGGAGGCCCTTGAGGGCAGGTCAGCTCTGTGTCCCAGGGCAAGCTACTTTCCCTCTCTGGGCACAGACCCTGGGCAATCTTGCCTCCCAGGCTTGAGTGGGAGGGAGCACCAATTAGCCCCAGGTCAGGCCAGACTCTAATTTATCTGGAAATGTCCCATCCTGGATTCACTGAACACAATCCAAGGGGTGCTGGGATTACAGGCACGCCCTACCATGCTCCACCCCTGGTCCTGCCTTCTGACTGCAGAGAAACTTATCTTTCCAGGTATGCCATTCACAGAGCAATGCAGGAGTCACGGGCTAACATGAGGACTTCTTTGGGGGGAAGCCCTTTTCTTTTGCAGATCCACAGTGGGGACAAAGGAGAGGCTGGGACAAGACTGACATTGTGGCTCCTACCATGCATGGAGGACTCTGGGGTTCCCCACGAGTCAGTCAGAGGGTGTGCCTGGGAGTGGGAACGACACCCAGACAGACAGACAGCCGAGAGGACAGAGGATGTGCCTGGGAGTGGGGACGACACCCAGACAGACAGACAGCCGAGAGGACAGAGGGTGTGCCTGGGAGTGGGGACGACACCCAGACAGACAGTCGAGAGGACAGAGGCCAGTGCCCCCTGAAGATCTGAGGCTAGCTGAGTCCTTACCTGCTGTGCCCATGAGGCTTGGACCTGGAGGGGAGGCCCGGGATTTGGACACGGTCCCCATCTTCCCTTTAAAGCTGCTGTTCAGTCGAGACTCAAGCTCTGCGTAGACAGCTGACATCTGGTGGGATGGGGTGGGAGGCCAATCAGAGGTGAGTCCCACCCACTCCCACTGTCCCCACATGGACCCAACATGGTCTTGGAGGCCAGGCGTGGGTAGTCTGTCCCAGCCAGAAAAAAAACACCAGCATGCCGTGCTCTGGGGTCCCCTGAATCTCACCTGATGGGCCACCCATTGCCCACCCCTCACTGCACCCCTGGAAGGCAAAAAAAAAAAGTCTTACCATCTTGGGGTTGGGAGTCTCAGGGAGGGAGGTGCCATCACCAGCCTGGCGCTCCCCTGGGATCAGAGGAAGAGGCATATCAGGGCAGTCGCCGAGACCTTCCGGGAGGGTGCCACAGAGCTCCACTTAGTACATCTGAGCTTTCAGGCTCAGGCTCCAGCCCAGACCCAAGCCAGACCCAACAGGCCTCACAGAACCAGGAGCAGCTCCACTCAGCCCACCCACCCCCATCAGTCCCTGTCATTCCTCATCTCACCAAGCCCATTGTGCAGGAGGGGAAACTGAACCCAGCCTTTCCATCCGGGGCCTTACCGCAGCTGAGGCTGGACTCCAGGCCCTGGGAGTGGAGGCTGCGGCGGCAGATGGAGGAGGCCCTAAGGGAGCTCCGTGGTTGGGGTTCTGGTGTGGGTTCTGGTGTGGGCTCCGGCTCCAGTTCCAGCTCAGACTCAGGCTCTGCTGTGGGATATGCAGGGAAGGCTGGGGACCTGTCCTCTCAGCCTCCACAGGTAAGGAGAGCAAGGGTAGACATGTCTGCACTCCAGACCACAGAGCCTTCTCTGCTTGTGTCTAGGGTAACTGTTTAGGGAAAGTCCTGAGGACAGAAACCAGGTGGCCGGAGCACCTGGGAGCAGCCAGCCTGAGCACAGAGGACAGAGTGGAGGCCCCAGCTGTTCCCAACAGGACACCATGTTTTCAGGGTCTCAACACCCTGTGTTCGGATCAGTGCGGCCCAAACAGGCTGGTAGAGTAAAAGGAAAGCCTTCATCACAGGGTTTCAGGCAGGGACGCTGAGGGGGACAGCTGCCATCATTGCCCTGTCCCCGATCCTGTGACATTTCACAGCCAGCCCTCTAAGCATGCTGGAAGTCTAGAGGAGAGGCTTGAGCCACAGCCAAAACAAAAGGAGCCTCACTGCAGTTTCTCAACAAACTAAAACCACCTGTTCCCCCAGGTGGCCTGCTGAGTGTCCTGGGTGAGGACGCCCGCCCACTTCTGGGCAGCACCCACACTGGCCTGGAAAAGCTGCCCCCCAAAGATGCTTGCTGAAGATATCCTGTGAGTCATGTCACCCTGTCCTGCCATGGAGTCCTGCCAGCACTGAGCCGAGGGCCTGACCACTGTGAAACTCTGCTCACAGGGTCTGCTCCGCCTGGCCCTCTGTCCTCCGACCTGGCCTTGCTCTGTGAGAAACCCCAACCCCACGCTTCTCTGCTGTCCCCAGGCACAGATGCTCCCTGGCTGTGCCTCTGACAAGGCTCCTCGGAACTGCCCACCAGACAGTTGTACCTCTAGCCAGTGTCAAACACCTGAGAACCCCAACATCCTAAGGCAGAGAGCTGTGACGCACCCATTAGCAAGGTCCGAGGTTTAGGACATTGGTCCTAACAACTGTTTTCAAGTTCCTGTGGCTCAGATGAAGTAGGGGTGCTATGTCCTGCAGAAAACATCAATGCTAGGTGAGGCTGCCCACCTCTCCCCATTGGCGACCAGCCCTGGCCTCCTCTTCTGCCCCTCAAATTCACTGAGGTGTCAGAAGGTGACTGTTCTTCCTCTTGGCCAGGTTGGCAGTGCAGACACCCAGGTGGAGCAGACCCTGCAGCAGGGGTCACAATCTGCAGACCCTGAGCTCAGTGCCCTGGGCCACCCATGGGGACTGGCTGGGACAGTGGGAAGGGGTTGTTGAGCAAGGCACAGGTGTCAGCAGGGTCAGGACCAGGTGCCAGGGCTCCCAGGATGTCTTCGGGAAATGACTGAGGGAAGCAACCTTCCCTGCCTGCCTAGGAGCTGCTTGGGACAAGGCTGGCGTCCTCACCCTGGGCAGCCACTCCTTGTACAGCCAGAGTTTGGGTGGCCTGGAGATAAGGGGGGGATGTAGTTCATTAAGAAACAAACCGAGGCTCCTTCTGTATTGGGGGTTGGGCTCAGGCATCTTGTCTGGGACCTTGACATTGTCAGAGGCACTGTGGCCCTCTGTCCTGTATCAGGGACGGGAAGGTGACGGATGGGGTCCTCAGTGTCCCTGCTCACATCAGCCCAAGGAAGGCTTTTTTGCAAAGCCTACCCCTGCTGACCCCGGGCCTGGAGGGGGCTTTGTTCTCACCCCCACCTTAGTGCTCAAACCTCTGGAACCTGTTGACACACAAATGCCCTGTCAGAGGCAGGGACAGAATCACTGCGTTTGCACAGTGTGGGCTGTACCTTCCCGGGGCTCCATGTCCAGGACAGCCCGCGCTCCCCCTCCAGTCTCTCCCCTATTCCAGTCTCTCCCCCTCCCGCTCCAGTCTCTCCCCCTCCCCCTCCAGTCTCTCATCCTCCCCCTGCAGTCTCTCCCCCTCCCCCTCCAGTCTCTCATCCTCCCCCTGCAGTCTCTCCCCCTCCCCCTCCAGTCTCTCATTCCCCCCTCCAGTCTCTCATCCTCCTCCTCCAGTCTCTCACCCCTCCCCCTCCCGTCTCTCCCCCTCCCCCTGCAGTCTCTCACCCTCCTCCTCCAGTCTCTCATCCCCACCTCAACACCATCTCCAGCTCCTGCTCAGGACAGCTGACCTGGGTCCTTTCACCCTTTGAAAATGGCCTGACAGATGTGTCCCACTGAGCAGCTTGGTTGGCACCCACCCCATCCTCCACTCAGCAAGTAGCTAGTGAGCGCCTACTGAGTACGGGCATGGGGCCAGGCAAAAGACTCACTGCAGGTGCCTGGGGGAAGGGCTGCATGGCCATGAGTCTGTGCCCCTCTCCCACTTCCCTTCATGTGCTTTCAGGAGAAATGCACATGGACTCCCATCCGTGTTGGGGGCTGAAGATCATGAAGTCCCGTGGCAGCAGAGGAGCCACGCTGCAGTGCAGTTTTGTTCCCTTCGGGTGTGTGCCCCGATTTTGTGGTCAGGAAAGGCAGGGAGAAGCGCACAGTCCACTGCAGGTAGAGACCCTGGCCTTCTGCTCACTGGAGCCTAGGCCCAGCTGGGCACAGTGGAGCCAGGACTGAAGGCACAGGCATGGGTCCTTCAGGCCAATGGGTCTGTCCTGGTAGAAAGCCTAGCCAAGGTTCAGGCATCCCCGATGGGTCCAGGGCACTCTTGCAATCCTTTCTGTGGGGTGGCCCCATTGCCTCCAGTCTACCTCCTCCCTGGCTCTGGTGCCTGGACCCTGGCTGAGGGGCGCAAGGTCGCCTCCTAGTGGGGAGCTCCTCTGGTTATGAAGATGCCCATCTCCTGGAGAGATGGCCTGTTTCTGGCCTGGGATCTACTGTGAGCATCCACCAGGTTCTGAGGCTCTGACAATGTGCTGGTGTGTGTGTGGAGGGGCTGCTCTGTGTCCTTGGGTTCTCAGCCCACCAGGAACAGGACCCCAGAACACAGGGCAGTGGGTAGTGGTCATGAAAATAGGTAGAATTTACAGAGGTATGGCTCAGTGAGTGAGGAGAGGTCCAGGTAAGTAAGTGAAGAGGGAGGGGTGAGGGAGGTGGGGAGGGGTCAGGGTGGTGGGGATGGGTGGGAAGAGGGGGGGAGGAGTGAGGGAGGAGTAAGGGAGGTGATGTGGAATGAGAGAAGGTGAGGGAGGTAAGAAGGTGGGGAAGGTTCGAGGAGATGGAGAGGGTTGAGGGAGGGTGTAAGGTGGTCAGAAAATAGTAGGGGTCAGGGAAGTGCGTAGGACTGGCAAATGGGAATAGGGTGCAGAGGGGTTAGTCAGGTGAAGAGGTCATGGTGTAGGTGGAAGGAAGTCAGGGAGCCTCAAGAGGAAGGATAGGCCAAGGAAGAGTGGGGGTTAGAGAAGGGAGAGATGGAGGGCGTCAGGAGGCTGGGTAGGGTTAGGGTGATGGAAAGGGGTCAGGTGTTGTGGAGTAGGCATAGGGTGGGAGGGGAGGAGGGTGGGTGTCAGGCAGACAGGTAAGGTTCAAAGATGGGGAGCAGCCAGGCACCCATGGCTCATGCCTGTGTCCTAACTACACGGCAGGCAGAGGTCAGGCGGATCATGGTTCGAAGCCAGCCTGGACAAATAGTTTGTGACATCCTATTTCGAAAATACCCAACTCTAAATGGCTAGCAGAGTGGGTCAGGTGGTAAAATGCCTGCTTAACAAGTGTGAGACACTGAGTTCAAACCCTACAACCACCAAAAAAAAAAAAGAAAAAAGATGGGAATGGGTAGTGGATTGGTGAGAGGCCAGGTAGGTGGGTGAGGGTCGTGGGGGTGGGATTGTGGAGGACTCCACAGCCACCAGGTGTTTAAAGTATTATGGAGAGCAGATGTGGAAGCAAAGGTTTATTCAAGGCATTGCTGAAGAATTTGTCCTGCTGCTGTGCTGACGTGGGCTTGGGGCAGATCATGTGGGGTTTTGTGGATCAGCTGTGTCCTTTTCCCTGGGTCTTGATCCTTTCTTCCTGCCTTGGATGGTGGTTGACATCTGAGCGCTTGGCCTCACTTCCTCATTCCACCTGGAGCTGGAATTTTGTTTCCACCATGCCTCCTCAAGGGGGACCTTCCTCCACATCCCCCCTGTCAGAACAACAAAAGCGATCCTGGTGCAATGGGGCGGAAGTCTCAACTTCTTGGAACTGCTTCAAGCTGGGCAGGGGTGTAGAGCTGTCCCTGCCTACTTCGTTGTTGTTCTGACAGAGGGTTATGGGACGGTCTGTGGGCACATGGTGGCCTGTATCCGAGGACCGAGGGCAGCAGGACACCAGACGGTGCTGACAGAATCCCCGCTGCAGCAGCATCTGTGGTGTTTGGCTGGAAATGAGAGGAAACAGACTCGGTGAGAATTCTAATGACTCAAGGTCCCACAGGGGAGCAGTAACGGAACGTAAGTGTCCCCAGAAGGGAGGAGCCAGGGAAGTGGTGACCAGGTGTGTTCCCAGGACAGCCATCCCTGAGTGGCTCTTCCTGTCATTGAGAGGCGTGGTGGGTTATTCATGAATTCAAGGTTCAGCCTGTCCTGATTGTCCATCCCCAAAACGGCCTTCTGCCCTCAATGTAGCACAGGCTCCCCCTTGGGTGTGAGTGAGCACATCCAGAGGCCTTTTGTCCTACAGGATCACGGCTTCTAGAGAGTCTGTTTACCCCTGTGAAACGGGGAGGCTGTGGGCTATGGTGTGAAGGGCATACATAGGGACTTCAGGGGACAGGTGTTTGTAGCTTGAGAAGGAAGAAATGCTTCCTCCTACTCCTGTGCCCATGGCTGATGAACCCCGCGGTGTATCAGCAGAGGTGTGTGTTGGATCGCCCTCCTGTCTCGAAGGACACACACAGGGAGGGGTCTCTGGGTGTCTGGAGCAGCAGCCATAGCAGGCAGTAGGAAGGCAAGGGGTCAGTTCCCGTTCAGGTGGAATGGACAGGTGTGGGCTTTGGAATCGTGTGGTTCTGCTTAGGAACCGCTTCTTCCTGACCTCTCAGCCTTGGTTACCTTCGATGGGTGGGCACAAGTGACTCCATTTGCATTCTGACAACTTCCCTTCCTGTCTGAACAGCTTTTTTCCCCAAACTACAGACACCAAGAAGTTTTGTCAGAAGACCTCCACCAGTAACCTTGCTGGGCTTTAATGCCCCTTTGTGGCAGGGACAGCCTTGTCCCGAGGTCTGATGTCATCCTATTGATGAGGTAGGTGTCCTAGTTGATCTGACATGACCCCACGCTGCACTGCCAGTGAAGGAAGGTCAGGTGGGAGTCAGTGCCTCTGAAACCCTTTCATTCATATCTAAGGAACAAAGACATTTAGTGACTTAGGCTGTGCCCACCTGGAGTCCAGTGTTCTGTCCAGTTTTGTCTATGTGCAGGTGACATCCTGGAATCTCACAAATGCTGTTCAGGTTGCAATTGTCAGAATGTCTAAGTCAGAAGTTTTCCAGACAAAAGTCATCCACCACAAACCTGATGACATCTGCTCTAGAGAAGGATCAAAACTGCAGTGACCAAGACTCTCAATAGCCATCATTCAAATTTGAAAACATGCAACCATTTACAGAATGGCTTCATGGCTTCATTCCCTGAAGCAGTTTGGGTTAATAATTGTGAGTGACAGCATTATCGAGGACCAGGAGCTCCCCCTGTTGAAATCAGGAACTGGTGGATGGAAATCCATCATAGCTGGCATCACTCCTAATTTTAAGTGGGCAGACACAAGCTTGGTAAATGTTTCATGTACATTTTTATTTATCTGGTCTTATTTGTGTGGCTACTGAGGATTTCTAGCAAACAAGGTGAGGAGGTGACAGTGTGGCTGGACTGCAGAACTCCTCCTCTGATGGGGACAGGTGACAGATCTAGTGATCTCCAGAACACTAGGAAAGCCACATTGGCCAAGGAAAACTGACCTGCCAGAAACCAAGACCAGGTGGCTGTGACAACCGTGACACAGGTAGAGCAGGACTCCTTACACCTGGAGTACATGCAATGAAACGTTCCATCATCCAGCTGTGATCAGTCTACTTCCTGTCATCCAAACCACAGGAAACACCCTCTGGATCATGAAAAAGGAGTGGTAGAGACCATCTGGACTGATCCTGGAAGAGGGGGAGGAGGACAAAGAGGAGCAGGAACCCCAGAGACAAGGACAGTGCTCCTTTTCTCCCCAATCCTCTTGAAAACTCAGATTCCCAGAGGAGCTATTCCAGGGGATGGGCCTAGTGCATACCCACCGCAGCCCTCCACTCACCTCTCACACAAAGCCGAGACTCGGGGAGCCTGCCCTTTCCCTTCTCGACCTCAAACATCAGCTGTGTGAGGATGGTGAGCAGTTAGCACAGAGGGTGGCAGAAGAGCCACTGTGCCTGTGACTTCCCTCTGACCTGCATGTGCTCACAATGTCTTCTTGTGTCTGCCCCATGTGTTTCAGGGCTAGGTCCACAGAATGTAGGAGCTCAAAATGTTCCTGACCGTTGGGCCGTCACAATGTGGGGCCGAAGCTCTACCTCAAACACGGGGTGTTCAGAAAGCTGTGCTTCACACAGAGATGCCACCCCCACGGGGTGCGCTCAGAACACGGGGTCTCCAACACCTGTGTAGGTGGGGAGCCAGGATGTGACTGTGTTTCTTCCTTCAAATTCCCGTTCAACTTCAACCCTAGGCATCAGTGTTAAGAGGTGGTACGTTTAGGAACAATTAGGCCTTGAGGCTCTGGATGATGGACAGTGGGGGCCATCAGAGTAGAAATTGATGGACTTTGTCCAATCCTTCCATCCCTTTCAGCATGGGAGGACCACAGCAAGCTGCCATGCTACGAGGGACACCTTGTCCTTTTTCGGGACATTGCGCCATGGACCTGGGAGAGGAACGACCCTCTGAGACCTGAAGCCCTGAAATCCTGGTGGCTGACACATTCAAAACCAAGACAGTGACATTTGGCGGGGAGCCAAGTTTTAGAGCAGGGCACAGTTTCAACAGGGTTTGCGGCACTCTCGCCCTCTGGGCCACAGACTCATTTAGGGTGAGGACCATGACCCGTCTGTGGTGACATCTGACACATGGGATGGTCCACTCCTGTGCTCACAGACTCTACCATTTCTACACACAGCCCTTCCAGCTGGAGCAGCAGGCCCTGAAAGCAACCTGTGACTCACAATAGCCGTGGTTCACAGTTTTCTAAACACAGAATGACTCACATCCTACCTTCAGCGAGTGCAACACTGAGCTCAGCTGTGAGATCGCGTCCACCCCAGATGCAGATTCACATGAGAAGGCCTCGTGAGACACCCAGGGCTCAGCCAAGGCGAGAAATACCCTAGCAAGACACTCTGCAAAAAGTCAGCCGGCACAATAGGGTCCACAATGGATTATACAGGACACGATACACAGGAAAGCTGGGAAACTCTGTCACTGACCATCTCTGTCACAGTTCAATGATGTGCCAGCCATGATGTGATGCTTCAGGACGGGACACCTCAGGGGACAGCTGCACCACACAAGTCAGTGCTGAGCGCACGGGATCTGCCTTGCCCGCACCCCACAATGCTTGCTCCATCTCACATGCCCTGGACCTGGGCTCAACTGCAGAATTGCTCACCAAGACAGTCGGGACCTTGCAGCACCTCTTGGGTTCTTTATTCAGGGATCTCTGGCTTTTGAGGGAGGCGTTTCTAGTGATACACATGCCCCATACCGCCTTTGGTGAAGTTAATTTGGCCTGGCACAGACTTACAGGAGCCCAGGTGGCCATCCAAATCATTTCTAAAGGGGAGCAGAGCTCTGCCCCCACATCCTCGGAGGGTGGCCTTAACGAAAACTATCGATCACCCGAACATTGTGCATTAGTTTCATGTAATAGAATCCCAAAAATTATATATGGTGATGGAGTTTGCCGGTGGGGGAGACCTCCATAACTACGTCTTGGAGAAAGGTCGGCTGGAGGAGGGGGAGGTCACCTGTGCACTGAGCCACTGTCACAGCAAGGGCATTGTGCATCACGACCTCAAGCCAAGCAACATCTTGGTGAATGGTAGTGGCTCAGTGAAACTCAGTGACTTTGGCCTCAGTGCCATTGTCCAAGCCGGGGAAAAATTGCTCATGTTTTGTGGCACCGATGTTTTCTGGGCGCCTGAACTTTTTGATGGGAAGGCCTACGAGGGGCCTCCCGTGGACGTGTGGAGTCTAGGAATGACTTTATATTACATCCTGACGGGCTCGCTCCCCTTTAGCGAAGACACCACCTGTGAGCTGGAGCAGCAGATCAGGCATCTGACGTTCCAGTTTCCAGCATGCCTGTCTGCAGAGGTGCAACAACTGACCCACTACATCCTGACTGCCAACCCCAGAGGGAGGCCCACTGTGGCTGATATCATCCAGCACCCCTGGTTAAAGGCAGACCAAGATCAGAGGCAGGAGATACCCCCCACCCAATCCTATCGCAACGTCCATTCCCGGGAGATCAGGGACTCTCTAATGAAAGTCTTTCAACCATATTATGGCCACCTTCCTCCTCCTCCAGCATCAGACACCACAGGGGGACAAGTTCTGTAGCAAGAAAGGGGGTCCAGAAGACAGACAGGCTGCAAGGGATGGCAAAGCAGGGAGATAAAACTTAAAGAACTGGAACATGAAGGTCACAGTGCACTGGGGGAATGACACAGCCAATGGAGTCACATGCAGCCATACACGGGTTGAGCTTTGCTTTTCACTTCTGTAACCTGTTTGCAAGGGGATATAAGGGAGACCCCTTTGTTCTCAGACCTCAGCCTTTGGACACGAGTCCGCTGGGGCTGTGCTGGCCCAATAAAATGCTGCTTCCTGCTAATCTGCCTCAGTGTCCTGTATCTCAGCTCATAATTTCCTGCAACAGTTCCAGCACACAAGTGGAAGAGGTCAGACACCTTGACAATCTTCCTTGCCTGCCCCCAACAGGTCCTGTCAGCACCTTCCAGAGGCGACCCAGCGCACCTGCCCTTCACCCCTTCAACTCGGCAGCCTCGTGGCCTGCTGTAGCCACCTGCAGGGAACCCACGAAGGCCAGAAACACGAGGGTCTCCTGCTGTGGCCCTCAGGATGTTCGGCAGGGAGAGCTTGGCAGCGTGTCCAGTGGGCTTCCCAACTGCCCACCCACCCACCATAGGTGCAGAAAGTCCCATCACGAGTGGGCAACCCCAGAGTGTCACAATCAGGCCCAGTCAGGGAGATGATGACCATGGAGGGACCACGACCTCCAGGAAGAAGTGGAGGAGAGCTGCCCGTGACAGTGCCAAATTCTTCAGGGTTTCCGTTGCTGCTGTGTGCCGGGCAGCCGGAGGTCAACCAGAAAAACTCGAAGTTCATCCTCTGAGAGAGGTGGGCCACAGATCAACGGAGGGGTTGTTTCCTGTGGCGGGCGCCGTGGCCATCTCTGTCTCCCACGAGAGTGCGTGTTACCCCCTGCAGCGGGGTCCACGCCTTGGGCTCTTTTGACTCTCTCAGGTTCGCCCTGAAACCTTGGGGATGAGTGGTTGAGGGGTTCCGGGGATGGGTTGTGTTTGCGACAACGACGGGTGAGGTGAGCTGGGGGACAGTCCCGCTGCCCTCCCACGCCTCCGCTCAGCCGCCTCTCCAGGCCACACGCATGCACGTTCTGAGGTGGCCTGGTGATCGGACCGGAGGGGGACTGCATGATTTCAGAGGCCAGTGTATCACAATAACTATGACTCTATGTTTTTAGACGCACGATGCAACCAGACACGTCTTCCTTCCTACAATTAGGAGCAAATGGACACGAGTCTGCAAGCTGGCATCAGTGACAGTGTCACTTGGAAGACACCGTCGTGGTCCATGTTCTATCTCAGTTTGGTTCATGTGTCGCAGGACCTCTGGCTCCAACTGGGATGGCTGTCTGCCTGAAACGCCAGGCAGTCTGTGAGTGTGGAATCCAGGACCACGTCTACACTTCACATCTCCCCCGCAGATCCCTCATCTTCTCCTTGCAAGAGGTCTGGCTGCCAGAAGGCGAGAGTGCACGAGAACAGGTCAGGTTTCTACCTTGGGTCCTCTCACGGGCAGCGCTGTGGTCCCACCATTGAGATGTCCCCTGGGGAAGGAGCTTTCCTCCTGGGACACACCTTGAGTGACTGGCTGCTCTCTAGGTCATGGTTACACACTGCTTTCCCAAGGACTTGCACAGCGAGGAGTGACTTGTCCTCTGGTGACATACCACCAGAAGACCTCTAAGGGTCACCACAGATCCGTGGTCTGACTAGTGTTTGCCAAAAGCCGAGGGAGATTTCTGAACGTGTTCCTTGTGTTCACGGCCTCGTCTCTGTGTCACAGTAGAGCTTTGGCTCCACATGGCTTCGTCCCGTTGCTGGAGTTTCGGGTGCACGTTCTGGACGTGAAATTCCTTGGTCAGTCGCAACTTCTACTCATGTGGGAGGAAGAGACAGGACCGCACTGGGCGTCGTTGTTGGCAATGGGCACCGGGATTGCAGGCTGCACCTGGGAATTGCTAGCATGCTGTCACTTTGTGACACTTCTGCCCTGACTGCTTGTCGTGCTCATGCAGATGACGTTCAGAAGTGAGGAAGATGAAAGGGGGAAAGGCAGGCTGGCTGACTTTCCTCTTTGTGATGGTGGATGTTGGTGGTAGGCAAGGCTTATCCCCCAAAGTACATAATCTGGGAGTATGTCTTCTCAAGAGGTCTGAAGAGGAAAGGAACACTCTCCCTCTCCAGGACCCCCTCCGCTCTAGACCCAGTCATGCAGGACACCGACCTGCTTTCCAGTGACACCTCTCCGCCATTAGATTCCTTTGTTCTTCCTGTTTTGCTTTGCAATATGGAGACAGAAGCGAGTTCCTCACACATGCGGCCTGAGGGCACTAACAGTCCTGCAACCCCAGTCTTTTGATTTTAGTTTGGATTTTCAGATAAGTTCTCCTGCTACGTCTGACAGGACTGGCACTGGATCTGGTGTCCTGTGCAGCTGGGACCCAGTTGTGCACTACTTTTATGCTTCCTTCTCCCCACTCAGTGACTTTGTGTGGTGGTGTCAGAATTTGTCAGCATTTTAACCTACTCAAGGTGACTTCCTGAACGCATCCCCTCAGTGAATGTACTGACTGTGGTCTGCTAGCCGCTGCGCCTGGTGCAGGGGACATCCTCGGGCTGCTGTGAGAGGGATCTCTGGATATTGCCATCCTTGTGTGTACGCTGCACACGGAATCGTGGACATGGTGGCTCTCCTGCTATCTTTCTCCCTGACTCACTGTGATGTTGTGAGGCACACAGGTGAAGGTATGAAGAAGAGCAGGTGCACTGGCTCCCATGTGTAACATGGAACAAGTATTTCGGGGAGCAGGCAAAGCAAATCTCTGGATGATGGCGGATTAAACAGAGAAGGGAATTGATGGGCAGAGGAGGGTTTGGGGGACTACAAGGAAGTGGAGGCTGGACAACGGGAGAGGCCTACCTGGAGAGTAGCATCTGTTCAGGGGCAAGTTTGCTTTCCAGATCCAGGGTTATGATCCAGAATTCTGTCTGCAGGGGTGAGGGACCACACCTTCCTGCCCTACACCTCTGAGACCCTGGAAACCTGAGTTCTAGGCCTGAGTACAGATATGATTGTGTCCTCTGTGGTGAGGCCAGGATGATTTATTTCTACTTGGGAAATCCGTGTCCCCACTTGCCTGACCACTCTTTTCCCACACTGATTGTCCACACAACTGTGAACAGTCCAGCCATAACACATAAGGGAAATCTCCTCACTTATGCACAACTGTCCAGTCGCCAACCAGACATTGTCGCAGTAGCCACTGTCTGAGGGCTGAGAGTCCTAGCATCCTAGGTCACAGGGTGGTAAAGCACCTCTTTCTAATGTCTGAGGGTGACAGAGCCCACGTCCCAAGACCAGTGACAATAGCTGCAGGGAAGGGCGCAAGGCCCTGATGCTCTCGGCCTCGGAGCTCTGTCACAAGCTGCTGTCAAGGGCTGGTGGTTCCAGATCTAGGCCCTGGAGCTGTCACACCAGGTCCCTACACCTTAGGA